TCTGCAAGGAGTGAAAAAGGGGTTTCAGACTTCAGTATTCCTTCAGACTTCCTTTTTACTTGCAGCAGGACATCTGCCAGCAGCATCCTACATCTCATCTAGGTTTATTCTGATGGCATTCGTTTGTACTTTATGCCAGTTACAACTTTTGAATTAAAATATTGCTGTGTTGCTCCGTAAAATTGGTATTCTTATCCCTTTTAACCTAACAAATTAAATTTAAGCAGCGTTTCTACAATTCTGTAATCAAGATTAAATACCTTTGTGTCTGCTACGCTGGTAGTACTGGAAAATGGTTAAGGTTGTTTTGAGGTAAGGAAGGTTCATGGCATCTCAGAAAGGGAGCTTACTATATCTGATCTGTGAGGATGCTTCAGGTGACAAAATGTGTTGCCTGCAGCACATGATAAGTTTTGGGTGCTCCAGGGTTTCCATAATACAAAATATACACCGTTTGGGAACACTCCTCCCCTCTTCTGAGCACCTTTTTGGGCAGAGGGGAGGGCAGCATCAATAAAGACGTGGTCTACCGCTACCACTTGTCTCAAGAGTGTGCTACAGCGAGTATGCGTAACAACACGAGGAAGGGAGGGAGACGTAGCAGGGCCAAGCTGTGCGTTAGGGGAAAACACTACTACTGTTATGGCATGGGTGTCAGAGTTGGATGATTTTGACAATTATTTGGTGTCACATAGAATTAGTACTGTTGAAAAATAAAGACTCTTGCAGGTTGGCTTTAATGGTGATGCAAAACTGTCCTGAATGTCAGCAGTAGCATGTTTCACGTGCGTTTTGATAATGGCTACCTGCTTATACGCAGCCTGGGGTGGTGTTCAGACAGTCTTCTCTACTGGTTTTCTCCCATCCTTACAGTTGGAGTTTAATCCAATTAATAATGAGCATTTTCAATAAACACAGAACATACAAAATACAGCGCTACAATATATATTGTTACTTTTCTACCAATATTATTGGGTTGGGTGTTCATTTTACAGTTACATGTTAACTGAATGTTTTGTTCTAGCATCTCATCTTTACGGTTGGCCTATCGAGATCTTGATATTAAAACAAAAGAAGAAAAGTTAAATCTATCTGGCAAGAAGAAAAGCGAATTGGAGAGGCTTGGCATGGGATTTGGCAGCAACAGAAGGTGTGTGAAGTCCTATAAACTGTGTTTAAAATACTCTGTGGCTTTATGAAGTTATCCATTTTACTTAGGAAGTGAAAAAAACAAATTATACTAAAGTGTATTATGGAAACTTTAATATCATCAAAGAATACTAAATTGTAGGGTGTCTGTAGGGTATTTGCCTCCATTAGCTGACTGTGAGGAAGGTAGTCAGGATGTTCTTCATGAAGAGGGTGGTGAGGCACTGGGACAGGTTGCCCAGGGAAGCTGTGGATGCCCCATCCCTGGAAGTGTCCAAGGCCAGGCTGGATGAGGCTTGGAGCAACCTGGTCTAGTGGAAGGTGTCCCTGCCCATGGCAGGGGGGTTGCGGGGTTGGAACTGGAGGGGCTTTAAGGTCATTTCCAGCCCAAACCATTCTGTGGTTCTATGATGTTTTCAGGGAACAGTACCAGCCTAAGTATAGTCTGTCTTTTACAAGCCAAAACTCTGAAAAAGTCCCATTGCTGTGTTTCCCATGTGTGTTCTGGAGTCCTGTCACTAATTCAGAGAACTGCAGTTGAGTTTTCCAGGGCTTTGGTTTTTTTCTTTTTTTTAATTTAATCCCTCTTCTTAAATGTTTGAATAGCTCGGGCTTTATCAGCAAGCTTAAACTAGATTTGGACTTTCATTTCATTTTGGTTTAGGGTGTGAGCTTTGTTATCTCTTTACATACTTATTTTCTTCCTGTCCACAGTGGCATTTCTCACTCAGTCACAACCGATATGCAAACAATAGAGCAGGAAACACCTGTGATGGCAAAGCCGAAGAAAAAGTACACAGATGATGTAGAGGACTCGTATTTCTCTTCTAGTTCAAGGTAACGTATCACCTTGTTATTTTGAGTGAGGGCACAAGTATATGCAAGTTATGTGTTCAAATACACACAAGATATTTGGAACTCTAGATCAAAACAGAAGACAGCTGGACATGTCTACACCTAACAGATTTTCAGGGGACATCTGAATCAGAAAAGTTGTGAAATACTTGACCTAACCTTGAAAACAGATGTACTCATAAAGAAGAGGAGTTACTTTTTCTGAGGAGAAGGTAGTCTGAATCATATGTTTACAGACTGTGTATTGCTTAGGGTCTAGTCTCTACTTGCACAGGCTGTTGCCATATAAGCTTTTGTTTGCTGTATACCAAATCCAGTGAATGTTTTGTCAAAATTACTCGTGTTGGGTTTTCTTTTTTCCCTTTTCTTTCTGTCTTGTGATACTGTCTTGAAATTCCAATTTAGAATTTAACAAATATTGAAGTCTGATACTAGATATGGTAGATGAAAAGCTGGACATGAGCCAGCCATGTGCGCTGGCAGCCCAGAAAGCCAACCGTATCCTGGGCTGTATCCAGAGCAGTGTGGCCAGCAGGGCGAGGGAGGGGATTCTGCCCCTGTACTCTGCTCTGGTGAGACCCCACCTGGAGTGCTGCGTCCAGCTGTGGAACCCCCAACATCAGAAGGATATAGACCGGTTGGAGCGAGTCCAGAGGAGGCCACGGAGATGCTCCAAGGGCTGGAGCCCCTCTGCTATGGGGACAGGCTGGGAGAGTTGGGCTTGTTCAGCCTGGAGAAGAGAAGGCTCCGGGGAGCCCTTATAGCACCTTCCAGTGCCTGAAGGGGCTACAAGGAAGCTGGGGGGGACTTTTTGCAAGGGCCTGTAGTGACAGGACAAGGGGTAACGGGTTTAAATTGAAAGTGGGGAGGTTTAGATTGGATATCAGGAAGAAGTTCTTCCCGGAGAGGGTGGGGAGGCACTGGGCCAGGTTGCCCAGAGAAGCTGTGGATGCCCCATCCCTGGAAGTGTCCAAGGCCAGGCTGGATGAGGCTTGGAGCAACCTGGTCTAGTGGAAGGGGTCCCTGCCCATGGCAGGGGGGTTGGAACTGGATGGTCTTTAAGGTCCCTTCCCACCCAAACCATTCTGTGATTCTATATACAAGAATTGCATCAGTCTTTTAACTGGATACAGGCCAAATGCAAAGCTTAAATCTTTCTGAGATATTGTGTGCTGGATCTGTTGTGTAGATGTGTGCAGTCTTTTTTGATACACTTTTATGTATTTGAACGTAAAATGTGAGCAAAAAAAAAGACAAAGTTTAGATCAGAATATGAATGCAATGCAAATTATAAAATAGTGCTGTTGGGAGAAGAGAAATGATGAGTCCTGCAGACACTGATTGCACTGAAACAGCTGTTTCTGGGCTGATACCGAAACAGATGTTGCTTTTATAAACTGCCTTTATTGGATTGTTGCCACAGACACATGAAAAATTGTACCTAATGACTTGCAGACAGGTAAATAAAAACACAGAGGCTTTTGTGTCATCACCTGTAGTGTAGAGCAGCAGAATGGGAAATGTGTGGTACCAAGTAAACTGGCAACAGCCTTGTAAAATAAAACGTATCATTTCAGTGCTTCCCTATTTGTTCCTTGAAAAGAGCTGTTACTGCTCTCAAATTATTCATAAGCCTGCCTACTAGCAGGCAAGGGATAAATTATAGAAGAGGCTTTATAATGTGTTTTGGTTCAATAAGTAGAAGATAAATTGTAACCTAGCTGTTCCGGGCTCTTGTTCTTCTAGTTGTAGCAATAGGAGAATCTAATTGGAGTTGACACACAAATTAATTCTTTTTAAAGCAAGTATAAAGTCAGCTCGTTGGACTTGGTGAGGAAACTTCGATTGCTGTGACTTCTTCATTAAGTGGGCAGGAGCAACAGCGTTGCTTCCTTGCAGGTTGTGTACTGTGCTTCTACACTCTGCTGCCATAGGAACATGACTTAGCAACTAAGAAGTCGAGCCAAAAGAAAATGACCCTGGTTGTAGGAAAGCACGTAGTGCCTTGCCATGTTTCTAAGCTGCCGTAAGGGAGAGAGGCAGCTGAATGAAGAAATTTGGAAGACTGAACTACTTTCTGGTGCTGCACCACTCCTTCCTGGGAGTTTCTGCCTTCCTTTTAGTTTTTTATATGGGGTATTGCAGTGGAAACAACCTAAGCTCACAGGAACAGTGAAAGATTGAATTCATAGAGTGAGGTGCCCCAAACAGTGAATTCTGTGATTTTTCCTTTCTTGTCAACTTATATCTGTGACTCTTCCTTTGGATTTTCCACCTGTATCTAAAAGGTAGAGGAGGGTAAAAAACCTCATTTATCAGGAAAAAGTACCTTCAAGAATCCCCTGGGTGTAAGATGCACTCTGTGGGGTGAGACTGTGAAGATGAAGATTGCAGTGCAGTGAGTCGTCTCCCCTCAGCGCAGTAAATGAGCTTCCCTTGCTCCGTCAGGAGAGACGGGGAGCAGCAGTTCATTCCAGATCCGTCCCTGCTGTTTTCCATGTGCAGTGGTGGGAGACTTTGCTGCTGTAGATGTCACATTTCTCAAACTGGCAAAAACAAATGTCCTGACTGTTCATAACACAGACATGGAGAATGTTTTGGGTTTTTAAGAGTGCTTTCACAAAGTACAGATGCAGACTTCAATATCCCATGCTTGTTGTGCTGAATGATCCCATTCTGCTAGCCTCCAGTTGTTTTGATCGTCTTACTCCTTATCCTGGTCATATCCAGAAAGTTTATTTAACCACAAAGGGAAATTCTTGATCTTTGACATTTTAATATTTTTTTTTTACAAAGTATTTTCCATATGTGTTTAGATATACGGAGATAATCAAGTGGGAAGAGGTCAGGATAACGTACCAACAGAACTGACCGACATGCTTTTTTTTTCTTTCCTTTTCTTTCTGTTTGTGTTTTCCTTGCAGTTTTGATATGCAAGAGAAGATTGTCTTACTAAATTAAGACTCACTTTTAAGAAATGCATTCTTTAGGTTTGTTTTCCTAAAACATGTAACAAAACTCAGGTACTTAATGTTTTTATTTAAAAAAAAAAATACATGGAACCGGAGAAAAAGGCTTTCCTCACTATCCTGGACTATGTTCATGCCTCAGAAAATGGGAGCAGATTCTCTGCTTGCATGGCCTGAGTCACGTGGAGCTGTGAGGTTAGCCACCGTCAGCCCCTTAGTTGGAAAACTTTGCCCCATGGAGAACCACAGCACAAGGTGGATGCTGTGGGTCAGTTGGGTGCTTTTGGTTCTCCAGAGCGTTCCAAGTGCCTTGAAAGTTGCGGTGGCTTTTTTCATGGCAGGTGCCTTAGCATGGAGTGTCGAGGGCACCAGGCCTTTATGCGCAGACGGCCTTGCAGGGTCACCATGGGGCTTTGCTCACAGCGCCCACCCTGAAGTTTTCTCAGGCTTGCTCTTGAAGCAGCCAGGTATCGTGACAGTCTTCTGCCCAGCGCCTTCCTGACGTTACAGAAGATGTATTACCTCAAAATAACGAGAACTTTGCCAGTTTGGGTGGGACCATGTCTTTCAGGTAGTCCACTGCATTTTCATGGCCTAAGAGAGGCCGAACTTCTCCGTCAGTTAAATACATGTGTAAAAAAACCCAGAAATCCATTGGATTCGACTGTACAAAGCTTCTCACCCTTGACAAGACGAGAGGAAACGCCTTCTAGTTGCTCCAGGAGAGATTCACGTTGGATATTAGGAAAAAACGTCTTCACCGAAAGGGTGGTCAGGTGTTGGAACGGGCTGCCCAGGGAGGTGGTGGAGTCACCATCCCTGGAGGGATTTAAGAGTATTCCTGTGGTGTTTAGGGACATGGTTTAGTGTTGGACTTGGCAGTGATGGGTTAACGGTTGCAATCGATGATCTTAAAGGCCTTTTCCAACCAGAACAATTCTATGATAACCAATATTATGAAATCCAAATTATTCACTGACAGCTATCATTGTCAAAACTTACTTGCTAGCAATCACTTATTATAGCTATATTTACCTAACAATATGAAGTTCCCACTTTCTCAATAATTTTTTTTGGTCTTCTTTGATTTTAGGTACTATGATTCTTCAGATCTGAGGAGCAGTACTTTCTCTAAATGGGATGACAATTCAGATTCTTTTTGGAAGAAAGAAAATAATAGTAGAGACGTTGATATAATGTTAACTTCAAAAAGTGCAGGATTTTCAGACAGGTATACCACGGAAACCTAACTGATATTTGTACAGAAAGCCCAAGCTTGTTAATATGGTTTGAGCCCCAGTTATATTAGTGGGATTTTTTCAGTCTAGAAGAGGAATTTAGCCACAAATTTCCTCAGCAGTCAAGGAACTTCCTGGCTGAATTTCTTCTGGAAGCTGAATTTCTTATTCACATTTTAAGCATTTGTCTATCAGTGCGGTACAGTATATGTACTGGAGGTACATTCCAAAGCATTTCAGCAAAAAAGAACTAGACAAAAGGTGGGGAGAGAAACTCAAATATTTGCACTGTTCTGAGAGCGTACTTGCTTTACTTGCTTTCGTTATTGCCTAATGAGCCAAAGAGAAGCCAGTTACCAAATGAATGAAACTGTAGGGTACTCAGCATTCAGGATGAGGATATTTAAGATACTTGCAAACAGGAGGTCTACTTGTTGTGATGATAAAAAAATTAATGTATTTCTTCTTTGACAACGGTGTTTTTATCTTGAATGAATATGTGTGAGTTTAAAGGATGTTGAACCTTTTTGTGCTATTAATTTTAAATCTGAATTTCACTGACATGGTGAGTTTTTTGAGGTTTTGTAGAAATATTCTGTCTTTGACATAATCCAGTTTGCTTTTTAAATTAACTCAGAAAATAAAGATACAAGATTAAATACTTTATGTTCACTATCTTGTAAAACTGTCACTGAAATTTTATTTGCTGCTATATCAACTTACTCATTTGAATGTCTTTATCCTGGGTTGATACTGGTTTAATATTTATTTACAAAAATAACTATTATACTTCTGGCTTTCACAAAGCAAATATGATAGTGCTTCTGGTTTGATTTATTGCATTCTGCTGTGATGTAAATAAAAGTTACGCTGACTAATTTAGTTTATTTTTCTTTTAGGCCTGCATCTCGACGTAAGCCTGAATACGAACTATCTCTAAACACAGACGAGGCACAAAAAAAATTTGGCAATGTAAAAGCAATTTCATCGGACATGTATTTTGGAAGGCAAGATCATGCGGATGTAAGTAGATAGCAGTGATAAATATTTTCGAATGTTAAAATTTTCTTCATCTATGAGCCCAATGCTCTTGCATAAAGAGAAGGCAATAGTTAAAACTGGTAGAATTAAAAAGCTTCTAGAATTATGTCCACTGGAATATTTTTTTGATAGTAAAGTACAAGTCTCTAATAACTCTGATAGCTTAGTATTCCATTTTAAGGAGTTGCAGCTGCAGGTAGGACCTTATCTCCAACATCATTCTTCTCTGATAGAAGTGGTAAACTAGGATTCAGCAGTCTTTATTTTTGAAAGAATCATCCTGATGCTGGATGACAGCTTACTTCGTTTATTCTGCATACCCAAACTGATGCCAACGTTCTTTTGTTAAAACAGCTGTCCCAACTGTGTTTGTTACGTGGAAACATTATCACTATTGTAAGGCTAAGTAAGCAGATAAATTGTAATGTAATTGAAATAAAAATTAGAAATTTTATTTAGCTTAAAATTTGCTTAGAAAAAAAAATTAATGGTTACGTGGAAACATTATCACTATTGTAAGGCTAAGTAAGCAGATAAATTGTAATGTAATTGAATCAGCCTAGAAATAAAAAACAAATTAATGTTATGATGCATTTTGTAGGTGAGAGATCATTTAAAAAAATCTGGGTTTAATGGAAAAATAACAGTACAAAGACTAATGTAAAAATATGTTAAAAATGTATTATTCTCAGCGAACTCAGGAAAAGTTGAATTAAAAGCATCATGTGAGTAGAAGGGTTAACATGATGCCAACTGCAATGCTTTTCCCTTATCCTACCCAACCGCTCCATTTCACATGTTTCAGTTGTTTTTACTGGTTGCATAGTTTTCCAGCAATTTTAGGGTAGCTGACAGTGAGTAGGCCCCTTGGTGTTGCCACGGTAAATGCCACTCTTTGATCGAGGTTGAAATGATGACCAACTCGCCCCGTGTAAGTCATGTGAAAACTGTGAAGTAAGAATGGCTTCCAGAATGGTCAACTTCAGAAGGAATTTTATGTTCTGGAGCTGCATCTGTCACCTCATGAGTTATCTGACATGACCTCAAAAGATGACAGCGTACCGTTAATTTTTCTTCTCAATTCTTTCCTAGTATGAAGCGAGGGCTCGACTAGAAAGACTTTCTGGAAGCTCATCTATAAGTTCAGCCGACCTGTTTGAAGATCAGAAAAAACAACCAGCAGGTACGTGTTGAAACAGAGCAGGAGGCGGTTACACGTGTGGGATAGGCTCCCGTACTCTGCTTCTGGTGACACCGTCAGCTACCTGTTGCTGCATTCTGCAGGGAGTGTGCAAAGAGCAGTACTCATTAGCGTTGCTAACAGGTGAAACGGGCGTCAGCGGTGTGGTCATTTAAAAAAAAAAATCATCTTTTACGTTTCACATTCTGTATTTTCAGCTCAGTAAGTTCAATATTTTATACTGTTTTTTTTATGTGAGTTGTTGCAAGTAACAGGCTAACTAGATTTCAAATAATTTTTATCAAAGGAAAACTGTAATATTTTGTTATTAAAACAAATATGGTAACGCCCAAATTGACTATCAGGTAATTTTTCTGGTAAGTTACTGGAAGTGACTTTCACATATTTACATATGTGAAAATAGCTGTCGTAATAATATTGGAACTGATGTTCTTAATGGTCTTTTCCAACCTAAAATAGTCTACGATTCTATAATCTAAGAAGAATCTTTAATAAAATGTTAGCGGCCTTGAAATTCCCATGTAAGCTGTTGCATGATATATCCATTCGTCAGGATATCTGCTTCTAACACTGCTCTTGCCAAATTATTAAGGAAATTTTTTAATTGGTTGTCTGAAATTTGTTGAAACACCTTACATTGGAGAGTACAGTTCATCAAATTAGAAAGGAAGGAGATTGACTAATTAGGTTAGATTGACTGAAAAATAGTCTCTTAGGCTATTGGAAATCTCTCCCATTTTCTTTCCAACGCCCTTTTTGGGTAGAGCAATAATGTGAAACAGAAAACGTAGGAAATACGGGAACATTTTATTGACTTGATCAGTTGGGTTTCATTCCTTAACTTGTGGAGAAATGAGGAAAAAGAATTATTGAAGAAACCGAAATGTGTGAGTAATTACATGAATAGGAGGAGAAAGCAAACTGTATGTAGCCTCTGATTTTACTTTGGAAAAGTAGGAGAAAAAAAAAATTGTCCTTACAAATTTTATTTTGTTATCTATCTGTTGTGAAGTAGAACTTTCTTCATAGTTGTTTAATTTTCTTGCATATAAATTATTTTAGATTGAATTAAATTTTTTTTTTGCTTTAATTTGTGTAATACGTGTGGGGATTTTACACAGTAATGAATAAGACAGTGAGCTAGGAAAAGGTAAATGTAAGTTAAAAATGGGGCAAATTGTGTGATGGGAGACAGATATCTGTGTGTGTATATAGATACAAATGTGCCTTTCTGTGCACACACACATATGTATGGGATAAAATTCCCACCGTATTCTGAATAAGGGTCCTTACAGGCAATTACATAACGTTTACTACGTGTATGTGAATTGTGCACACACAGTTATTCATCAGTGAGCACTTGGAAGGGTTCTTGGGGCTTGTGGGGGAATGCAGAGATTCCCAAGAGTGGGATGAAAAGTGCCTGCCCGTGACCTGAGGTTGAGTGCCGTATAACCCAACTGTAAATGTGAAGTTATATTACAAATAATAAACTTCAGCTAAATGTTGTGGGTTGTTAGAATAATAGTGAGGAAAACATACACCAGGAATAGTTTGTATATTATAAATTCACACTGTATTCAGCCTACAGAATCTTCCTTTGCTGCATGTTATTCTGTTACACCCCACCCCCAAAGGTCTTTTGTCAGCGGCCCTTCTTGAGGAGGTCTCACTGCACGGAGAGCTTGTCTGATGTTGAATTAGCGCCAGGGCCACCATTAGTTCCATAAAATAAAGGTAATCAGGAGACCGGAGGCTGGCAACAAAAGCGCTGCTGTCATTCTGGGGTCCTTGCCAGAATACAAATTCGTTTGAAGCTCAAGTTGTTTTTATGAGCACTGCTGCGATTTTTAGGGTAGAACAGTTTTGGGATGCTTGCTTTTGCGCAGAATGCTGTAGGAGTTATTTACCAAGAAGAGGGGGCTGCAAGAAAACGCTTTTACTTCGTGTGATTTCAGACCTGTTGCTTGTGAAAGGTGGCGTGTCACAGGGCTGAGCTGTAGAAGCTGGTTTCGAAAGAAATCACAAGAAAATGAGTTGCTTTCCTGTCTCGTTTACAAGAAGTTTTTCAGATAACCGTACATAAGCAGAACAACATGAGAAAATCCATGTGGCTGAGAAGTGGTTAGGGCTTTTCCCAGGTTATTTATATCCGCAAATTTTATTTGCGTGACTCTGACTTAATAACAAAAATCCCGAAGCATTTGGTAAGTGGAAGAGGTGGTAAGGAAGTCAAAATCACAGTTGAGGAATAGGGCTATCTCAGGGAATTTCTGAAAATAGCTTGTAAGCACGTGTGCCCATGCCTTGTGGAATCAGCTACTAGCCGGCGTTGAAGAAGGGAGCGGGGAGCGTTCGGGATGCGATTGCATCTGCCGCTGTGAACCAGCTGCTTGGCTTCGGTCAGTCGGATCAGCTGCAGTAATGTCTGGTTTGGCCTGCTGAGGAGGCGCGTGCCTTCGATTTTTCCATGACAAGAGGAGCTGCAGGAGCTCTCTTCCTCCTCCACCCCTCTTCAAAAAGAAAGCCGAGGAGAAGCAAGGGCTGCCAGGGTATAGCTGCATCATGCCGGGAGCTGCACTCCAAGGAGCTACAGCCGTGTGGGGGTGGAGTCTGGACCAGCTTGCCCCCAGGTTCCGCAGCTGCCCACAAGTTACCCGTGTCCCGACTGGGCATGAAGTCAGTTGGCCACGTGTTTAAGTTAAGGCTGTGGTCTCCGTTCTGAAAACAGTCTGTTTTGGGATGCTTCCTCTCAGCAGCCCGCTTTATTCCCGAAATCATAGGCCTGCGAGGCTGGTTTAATGCCATTTGTGCCTTTTACTGTATCAGGTATTCAATATTAAGGTGTGCCAGTAATGCTTTTCCCAGATGAGCGGGCGATTGTAATCGTTAGCATGTTCGTATTTATCGTTCAGTTCGTTGTGAAACACATTTGATTTCTGTTGTCTGTAGGCCTCTACCTCTCAAACTTACTTACTTACCTTTACTATAATTTCTATAGAATTTTCCAAGCCCAAGATGCAATAATGCAAAATATAGGTGTGTGTACAGGTCATGCAAAGCATACCTACGCACACACACAAATAGGGCCCATCGCTTCAGCCACCGCTGAAGGGCACTCATCTTCAAACTGCAAGGCAATGACAGCTCTTCAGGGTACAGGGCAAGTGGCATTGCAGCAGAGGGAAAGTGCAGGCTGGATCATGTATTATTCAAACATTAATTGCTCAGCTGGGAATACAAAGTGCAGAAGATGACACTCTGGGTAGAATTATGAGCAACTGAAAACAATGGAAAGGAAGACACGCTGGAGGGAAGGGATGC